CTCTTGTAGGTTTAGATCGCAGATTATATGTCTGAGTCTTTATTCTTCATATGTAATTTAAAAGCAAGCTTTTCTTTATTAAAACTTCAATTGAATTTCAATAAAGTTAAAGGCATAGCCTCACCATTAATATTAAAAAATAAAAAAAATAAAATAGAAATAATAAAATAATTTAATTTGGACTAGATTCTATATTTTCACTTTTATTACTACTTTTATCCATAACTTTTTCTTCCACCTCATGTGTTTTTTTTGGTTTTTTTTGTTTTAACAACACTATTTTTTACAACTAAAATTTCTTGTAAATTTTCAGTTTCTACATCTTCAATTTCTTTATGTTTTCTTTTTGCTGCACTTCTCTTTTTATTTTTAGCAATTTGAATTGCATGAAATTTCTTATTAATTACTTCTGATATAGTTAATATATGTTCTTTAATAGAATGAGTCATATCATACTCTACTAATTTTTTTAAATCTACTAAAATTCATTCAGAATGATTATCTTTTTCAGTATGTTGAAGAATTTTATTAGTAGTTGTATAATAAATTACTGTATGATATAATATTTGCTGTTCTTCAGAATCTGAAAAAACTTGAAATCTCTCAATAGTACTAATTAATATTAAATTTTCTAATTTAATATCAACATCTGCTTCTTCTTTAGCTTCACGAATTGCACAATCCATATAAGATTTATTTGAATTTTTACTACCACCAACTACTTGCTATTTATTGTAATAATCTTTAAATAGATTGATACAATGACTAATCCAAACTTTTTTATCTTCATTAACAATAATAAGAAGACTAAAATTACACAGATTTTTTTCAATTTTACTAATACTATCTTTATTCTCATTTAACAAATTTTTGTTAATTTCCATTTTTGAAAGAACTTGTATAAGAAGTATATTAACAAAAATCTATTTTTTTTTATTTTTTCTAATGTTTCTTTGTATAATAATAAATCTGAAAAATATTCATCAAATATAGTTTGATTTTTTTTAAAACTAAGATAAGTTTGATAAAGATTAATTATATTATTATTATTTTGAGTCATTGTTAAAGTTATGTATTTAAAAATCTAACTAGTTTAAAAAACTAGTTAGACAATTTTTATTAATATTATTCAATTTTTGTAATCGTTCAAAATAATAATCTAAAATAAAAAATAAAATAAATATCAGATGCTTCATTACAATATCAATATTTACATTAGGTGATTTTTTCATATAATTATAGACAACTTTACACTCTATGAGACACCATAAACCAAACAGGCTCACTTCTAACAGCATGACTTATATATTAATTATTACTCAATATAAAATAAATAGTAAGTAAAAATACTTACATTTTAATAAAAAATAATATAATATATTAATCATCACTATTATTCATTCATGATCCTTCATTCTCAAAGACAGGAACACCATTAGTTAAAAATGCATTTTGCTTAGTAATATAATTTGATATAATATTATTTAGTCTAACACAAGTACATTTTTTTTCTTTACAATTTGAACATTTTTTATTAAGAACAATGAATCCATCATCTGAAATATATGATAATTTTAAAGAAACTAAACATGGTTCAGAATGAATTGATTCAATATCAAAATCTTATACATTGTATAATTTGTTTTTATATTTAGTACAAAATTTTGTTTTTCGAAATGTATTACATTTCTCACAATATAAGATTTTAAAATTTTTTTGATATGAATATTTAAAAATATTTTTTTTGGTTGTATATTTTTAATATATAAACTTCTTTATACTAATATTTGATTTTCATTTATAGTTATATATTCAGTTGAAAAATTGTATTCATCTTTGTACATGAAGTGAGAAAATTCTTATAAATTATTTTTATAATGCATTTTTAAAATTACATCAATAAAATTCTATCAGGTTTTAAAAACTTGATAAATATATAAATTTAATAAAAAATATAATATAATAATATAATAATAATAATAATAATATGAAAATATAAAAAAATTAAACAAATAATTTTTTTTCTCTTTCTAACTTTTTAATTAATTTTTCTAAGTTAGTAACATCATTACTGGCACCATTTAATGGTCTAGACAATACTTTTGATTTCTAATCTTATATTTTAAAATAAAATTCATAATTTCGATCAAGAGGAATAATTTTATCAATATCATCATATTCTTTTTCAATTACTTCATAATAATGAAATAAATTTTTCATAAATTCTAAATGTTCATCTGAATCAGAAAAGCTAATTCAAAAGACTTTTGTTTAATATCTTTTTAAAGCATTCAATTTTTTTGGTTTAAATAAAATTTGTATATTTTATCTGAAAATTTTGAAAATTTACAAGGAGAAGTTTTTTCAACAACTTCTTCTTCACTATCTTTTTGTTAATGTGTTCTTTTAGACATTTTTCAAATTGTATACTTTATAAAGTTACATTAATAAATATCTAATCGGTAAAAATTTACTAATTAGATATTATAGCTTAAAATCTTATATATATTATAAACATATAAAATAAATTAAAGTAAACTATTTGAATTCAATCTTACATTTTCTAGCAACTAAAATTTTATTATATTCAAATTTAATTTCAATTTTTTTACTATTATCAACTTCAATACTTTTAATATTATTAATAATACTAAAAGTATTAACTGATTGAATACTATAGTATTTTCATGAATTGAAATTTGATTATCTTTATTCATTTAATCTTGAAATTGAACTACAGACTCATAAGTTGCTTCAATAGGAGATAAAACTTCTTGATGAAAAGTAAGTTGCTTAGTTTTTTTCTTACATCCTTCCTTATTTTTTTTAATAAGATTCCAAATTTCTAGATGTTTAATCATAAAATAATTTTTTAATATTGATTCATTTGTTGACATAAGATAAGAATAATCATTTTTACATTGTAAACAAACATAAGTTTTAGTAAGATCATTGGAAGCAAAATAAGTTCAGATAGGATGAACTAAATTAACTTTAGTTATATTAAATTTATATTATATAAATATTTAATTTAATAAAGAAATGGTTATGTAAATAAAAATCTAATCAGTAAATAAATACTGATTAGATAAATACATATTTTTCAAATAAAAAACAAACTAAAATAAGAATAAATAATAAAAATAATTGAATAATTTTACTATGTTGTAAAGAATGATAAATAACTAGTTTAAGAATTTTCTGAATAGCTTGATCGAGTGATAAATTTTTCGTATCAATAATCGTAGAAATTTGTTTTGCTTGTTGAATCAAATCATATGACTTAAAATCACGTTGCATTAAATCATCAAAAATCAATGCAAAATCATTTTCATATCCTAACTGATTTATTCTACGAAATACTCGAGTTTCAATATCAGCATCAAGTACAATTTTTATTTCTGCATCAGGAAGAATCTTGGTTGTCACATCACATCCAACTACAACAAATCCTTTTCCATCGACTAATCGTTTGATTTTAATATTAATTGCTTCTCTAACACCATCATCTTTTGCTATTTCTGCTGCATGAGTTCCAATTTGTAAAAATTCTTTATCACTAAGTTGATTAATTTTTTCTAAATCATCAATAGTAATATTAGATTTAATTATTTCAACTTTTAAATTATCCACATGGTGATTATAATATGTTGCT